TTTAATTTTTTTTTTTTTCAATAAAAAAAAAAAAAAAAAAAAAAATTATTTTTTTTTATGACTTCTTATTGTTAATGAAAACATTTTAATTTTAAATTAGTAAATTCAAAGTTCATTTAAATATATGTATGTTTTTTGTTTCATCTAATTTTATTTTAAATAATTGGTGTTAAATTAAACCCATTTTTCAAATGTTTTCCCTTAATGTTAATAATATAAAAGTACCAATAAAATAATTTTAATAAAAAAAAAAAAAAAAATAATAAATAACCATTTTTTTTTTAATTATTAATTAAATATATATAAAGTATTATTATATCAAACCTTTATTCTTTTTAAAATTTCCGAGTATATTTAACTTTTTTTTTTTTTTTTATTATTATTATTATTATTTTGATTAAACATATTATAAAACATTAAAATGTTTTTTCAAAATAAAGATTATTATAAGGATTAAGAAAAATGGATAGAGCACAGTTAAATTTAAAAATATTAATGAAAAAATTTTTAAGTGATGAAAAAGAATATATAAAATTTGAGAATAAAGGTAATAAAGATATAATAGTTTTTGAAAAGAAAAATTTTTACATTTATAGTGATGTTTTATGTGGTATTGAAAGTCGGAAAAAGGAAAAGTATAATATAGGAGATATTTATTTATTTTTATGTTTGCCTAAAAATAATTATACTTATTCTTATATTAATTCTATTGGTTATAAATATATAAGTATATTAGAAAGAAATAAAATTATAAAAATTATAGAAGAAGATGAGGATAGTGACGAAATAAAAGTTAATTTTTTTATTTATGATGTTAAAAAAAAAATAGATTTACATGATTATGTAGATATAGAAAAAGAACATATTATAAAAGTAGAATTATTTAATTATGAAAATAGCGAAGATGCAGGAGGTAGTGAAGATAATATAGAAAAAAAAGATACAAAAATAAATGAAAATGAAAAAAATAAAATAATTAAAAAAGAAGACTTAATTGTTATCAACAAAAATAATATAGAAAATAAACAGGAGAAAAAATTATCAGATATCAACAAGGAAAATAATAAATCGAACGAAGATAATCTCATATCTTTTGAAAATACTAGAAAAATATGTGATTCAGATAAAATATTAGGGTCTTTAATATTTTATTTTAAAAATGATTATATATATAATTCCTTATATAAAATGAAAAATAAAAGCTTAAGAAAAAAAAGAAAATATAATTTTGTAGAAGAAGATATGTCATTTTTGGAATACGATGAGTTAATGTATTATAATATTAATGAAATAAATTCAATTGAAGAATATGATAATGAATTAGGTAGTTTTGAGTTTATAAAAAAAAAATGTTCTTTAGAAAAAGGTTTATATAATGACAAGGAATCAAATAATAAAGAAGAAGAAAATATTTGTGAAAAAGAAGAAAAACTAAATGACAAGTACTATCATGAAAATAGTGAAAATCAGAAGAACGGTGATTCTATAGAAAAGAATAACAGTATTGTAAAACATTATTATGAAAACAATTTTTTTCAAAATATTTTTTTTCAAAATTTAGATTTATATTCTTTATTGAAAAATACATATTTTAGAAAATTACCTAATGAAGAAGAAATTAATAAAAATGTAAAATTAATTAGTGAAAATTTTTATAAGAATTACATGAAATTTATTGAAAATAATCACAAATTGAATTCTTCGAACAGTGAATGCCCATTAAGTGAAAGTATAAACAGTTTCATTGATATAAATGATGAATACATTATTAATAAGAGTTTAACAGAAAAAGATAATTTTATTTTTGATTGGAATACACATGATATGAATGAAGAATATGAAAATTCAGTAAATAAATATAAAAAATTAGATTATAATCATATATTATTTTCTTTAAGAAAAAAGAGAAGGGAATTTTATAATGGAAAAAAATCTCTTGAAATCATGAAAAATTTTAATGAACATGATAAAATTATATTATTTCATAATTTATTAGCACAATATATATACTCCTTAAATAATAAAAAATATTATGAACAAAATAAAGGAACTATAGATTTTGTTCATAACTTTATAAATAATTTATCTCATGAGGAGTATTTAAATATAGATATGGAAACTCTTTTTTTACCCGATTTACATATTTCTTTTACGGATTCAGATGAGTTATCCTTTGAATTGAATGCACAAGATAAATGTAATAGAAAAAGAAAAAAAATAGAAAAAGAGAATAAAAATGAAGAAGGGAATAATATTGATAGTAATGATGAAAAAAAGGAGTTTATGTTGAGATCGTTTAGTGAAAATACTAATGAGATAATTGATAATAATAAGAACATAAGAACATATATTGATAATTTTAATTTACCTCAAGACAATTATATAGAAATAAAAAATAATATCAGTCTTAATTTAAGTAATTTAAAATTATCAGAAGAAAGTATTAATAATAATAAAGAATTAATTAAATTTACACATGTTAAAGAAATAAATTTTAAAAATGCATATGATATAATAGGAAGAAATTCTTGTGATTTTAGCAGAATATATAAATTTTTTGAAGAGGAACTTTTAAAAAAAAGTAATATAAAAAATGTATATATAAATGGGATAAAGAAAAATATTATTGTGGATGATAATAGTAAAATAATTACTCCAAAAAAAACTTTAAAATTGATAGATGAAATACATTTAAAATATAAAAAAAGACCAATAATTTTAATACCAAAAGATAATAATATAATAAATAAAACTAATGTTGAATCCTTTTTTTTGCATAATAATTTAAATAGTACCAATCTTCCTATGCAAAGTAATAGTACGAATGGTATATATGATTCTTTATCAATAATATATAAAATGTTTAATAAAAGTATTAAATTTTTATTTATTGAAAATGATAAAATATCTAAATTCACAGAAATTGACTGGAAATGTGTAATTGCAGTTATTTTAAAACCTAATGAATCCTTAAAAGAACTACTAAATGAATATCCATTTCAATCTCTGAAAGATTTATTTCATACTTTTAAGGCTTTTGTTTTTATGTATAATGATGATAATTTATCCCCTGATTTATTATCTCATAATAATATTGAAATTATTAAATTGATTCATAATAATAGAAAAGATGATTACATTTATGTTAATAAATTTTGGAACATAATTGAAAAATTTATTTTACAAAGAAGAGATAAGATTTTTTTTTTTAAAAAAAAACATTTAGTAAATTGAAATACATAAATTTATAATACTTAAAATTTTTATTTATATTTTTCATTTTATTATTTTTACCTTTTTTTTTTTTTTTTTTAATACTATGTTCATTTCACCTTTGTCATAAATTTATTTCTATTATTATTATTTTTTATCTACTATTTTTTTTGTATTTTCTTGTATTCTTATCTTTATTTATTAATTTATTTTATTTTTTTAATATTTTTTTTTTTTTTTTTGGAAATTATTAAACTAATTTATTTTTAAAATTTTATAAAAATCAAAGTTTTCATTATTAATATAAAATACAAGAATATTCATATCTTTTGTTTTTTTTTTTTTTTTTTTTTTTCAAAAGATGTTAATAATTTTTCTTTGATTACATTAATTAATCTTGTATAAAAAATAAAATAAAATGAAGATAAATTATAATTATTTTGTTAAACTAGAAGAATAATTTTAAAAACTATTTTTTATTAATTTTTTTCTTTTTTTTTTTTAAAAAATATTTTTTTATTATTAGCTACTCTACGTTTTATAATTTTAATTTTATAGAACTTGCACTTTCATATATGAGAAAAAAATTCAGAAAATAATAAATGAAAAAAAATAAAAGTATAAATCAAAATAAAGAATTAAAAACAATTTCTAAAAAGAAATATAGGATTTTAATAAAAGCTCATTTCTTGATATACATGGCATAATTATTTCTATACTTAAAATCGAAGGTTCTACACTTTGAAGTTATTCTTGTTATATATAAGAGAAGTTTTAAAATGGGGTATTTAAAAGAAGAAAATATAAATATATGAAAAATAATTTTTACAAAAAAATAAAAAATTATTAATTAAATAAAAATTGTTATTGAATACTCTTGAAAGAATTTCATAAAAAAAAAAACCTCTTTTTTTTTTTTTTTTTTTGTAGAGCTGTTATAAGAGCCTTTGGAATATTAATATATAGAGTTGAATATAATAATAGTAAAAATGTTTTGAATAATAAATCAAAAATTGAGTTTTTATTTTTAAAAGCATCATATGGTAATAAACATTGGACCCCCCCAAAAGGTTAGTTAAAGTATTATTTTAATCTTTTTTTTATTTTTTGTAATTATTTAGAATTTTTATTTTATAAAGGATTGCATGAAGAAAACGAAAATGGATTAGAGACGGCTATGAGAGAAACATTCGAAGAAACTGGTTTAAATAAGGATAAATATAAATTACTAAATTTTGAAAAAGTAAAGATTTTAAAAAATATTCAAAAATAACATTATTTGCATTTATTTTATTTTTTTTTTATTTACTTTTTATTATTTAGACTTTAATATATAATGTTAAAGATAAAACGAAAGAAACTACCTATTATTTAGCTGGTTTATTAAATAATGATGAAAATATTAAATTATCAGATGAACATACTGATTTTAAGTATGATTTATAAAAAAAAAAAAAAAAAAAAAAAAAAAAAAAAAGATTATATATATATATATATATATATATATATAAATTGTATATAAATAAATATAACCAGTTGTAATTATATTACCTTTTTTTATTTTTTTGTAAACATATAGATGGATACATAGTAATGAATCAGATGTGTATTCTCTTCCTGATTCTTTTGCAGAATTAATGAAAAGTGCTGAAGAGTTCATTAGAAAAATAGGAAAATAAAATCTTCTTTATTCTATAAAATAAGAATAGGTTGTAATTAAGTTATCTATATATGACATATATAGAACATAAATATTTTATTTTTGAAAAGTATAATAATATATTTGTATATAAAATTTTCTTTTTTTATAAAATATTTGAACTAACATTTGCTTAATTTTTATCTGATACTTTAGATATTTTTAATTGTTTTTTAAATTTTTTTTAAAATTAACATAGTTAATAAATTATTATAAAAAAAAAGATTAACTTTATAAATTTGTAAATTTATGTAATTTTGTTTAATTATTTATCTTATTATTCCTTTTTTTTTTTTATTAATTTTTTTTTTTTTTCACATTTTTTTTTTTATAAAAAAAGAATAAGAAATATATAATATAAATTTCCAAAAAATTTATTTAATAAATATTTTAATGAATAAAATTTTAATTAAAAATATATTTTCAACTATAATTATTTTTCATATCTATTATTTCTTAAAAGAAATAATATAATTTTTGATTTTAATATATTATATTTTTTAGAAGTGTTAATTTATTTATTTTATTAATTTTTATTTATATTATATTTTTTAGAAGTGTTAACTTATTTATTTTATTATTTTTTATTTATACTATTATTTAAGTTATTACATTATTTATATTATATATATATATATTTTTTTTTTTATCAATCTCTTTTAGTTATATTTTTTTATTGTTTATTTTGCTTATTTGTTTATTAATTGTTATAGATCCATCATAATAAAAAATATAAAATTGTATAAATTTTTTTATTAATTAAAATGACAGAAGTAACTAAAATTTTAAGCATAGCAGGAAGTGATAGTTGTGGTGGTGCGGGTATTCAAGCTGATATAAAAACTGCAACAAGTTTAGGGTGTCATTGTTGTACTGTATTTGTTGTTTTAACTGCACAGAATACTAAAGAGATAAAATCAATTATAGAAATTGAAGAAAATTTCATTATTGATCAATTAGATAGTATTTTTGCAGATACAGAGATAAATGTTATAAAATTAGGAGTTTTGTATTCTAAAAAAATTATATCATTAGTTCATAATTATATAAAAAATATAAATAGTAAAAGAGAAAATAAATTATTAGTAGTATTTGATCCAGTTTTTGTTTCTACTTCAGGTTGTATGCTAGTAGAAAATATGGAATATATAAAATTTGCTTTAGATTTAATTTGTCCCATAAGTACAATAATTACACCTAATTTTTATGAATGTAAATTAATTATGAAAGCTTTAAATTATGACGTTGATTTTACAAATATAAATTCAATAGAATTATGCAAATTAGTTACAGAAAAATTAAATATAAATGCCTGTTTGTTTAAAAGTTGTAATATTAGTAAAAACGGTACTGAAGAAAATAAATTGTATGCAATTGACCATTTATGTATAAGAAAAAATAAAAATGAAATTGAAAATATAAGTAACAATGAAAACATAAATATAAAAGAGGGAAAATATATTTATGACATTTATAAATTAATAACTAAAAGAACACCAGATGCTGACATTCACGGTACAGGTTGTACCTTATCAACAGCCATTTCTTGCTTTCTATCAAAAAAGTATGATTTACTTCAATCTTGTATTGAATCTAAAAAATATATCTACAACTGCATTAAATATGCTTACGATTTTGGAAGTAAAAGTAAAGGATTAAACAATTTAAAAGCATCACAAAATTTAAAAAATTTCAATGATTTTGAAGTAATAAAAATTGCTCAAAATTTATCTTAAATGTTAAAGAAATAGTAATTTTGTTATTATTTTTCATTCTTTTTATCCATAGTTTCTTAATTATTTTTAATACAATTTTTTTTTTTTTTTTAAATATGTTTTATTGTCTTTTAATTCAGAATTCTTAATAAATTATTTTATATAATAAATATTTTTTTTTAATAATAATTTCTTTTCATGAATTCATATTCCGCATATAAAATATCTATTTATTATTTTTATTTTTGATATTTAAATTTAATTTGTATCTTTTTAATTAATAATATAACTTTAATATTTTTACAATAGACGTATATTTTTAATTTTCTTTTGATTAAATATATTTATATATTTATTTAAATTATAATAAAATCACAAACATATATATATATATAATAAACATGACTTTTACAAACACAATACATATTTACATTTATATCTAAATATGTTAAAACTGCCTTAATTAAAAAGAAATAAAAAAAAAATAAAATAAAAAAAATTTATAAAAATAAAAATTTCCAATTGAATAAAAACTTAAATTTAATTTTCATAGAAATACATTAAAACAAATAATTCAAAATAAACATAAAAGATGCCAAATAGAAAATGTATAATAATAACACTTGAGAAAAAAAAAAAAAAAAAAAAAATAAAATATTTAAAAAATAAAAAAAAAAAAAAAATAATAAAATAATAATAAAAATAAAAAAAAAATAAAAACGAATATATCTAAAAGAGTTAATAAAATTAAAAATAAAGTTATGAAAAATATGTGAATAAAATTATACAAAATTTTAAAAATATTTGAGTAAAATTAAAAGAAACATTGGGAATATATTATTTGAAAAAAGTTGCAAACAATATTATAAAGAAAATATATTTTAAAAGATTATCATAATATATTATAATAATATATTATATATATATATAATACTATATATTTTTAATATAGTAAGAAAAAAAAAGAAAAATAAAATAAAAATGAAAAAGAATTATATAATTAGACATTTTAATAAAATAGCACATGTAAAATATTATAATAGTACTAGTAAAAATGTGTTAAATAATGGAAAGAATGAATATACAGGAAATTTAATTAAAGATAATATAGATAGCAAATTTATAAATTTGGTAAATAAAAATAAATATAACACTTATAAAAATCGAGTTTATAATACTAGCATGTATAATAATTCACACCCAAGTTATATGAACAATAATGAAAATACTAATAATAATTTATTAAGTCATTATAATTATAAATATGATTCATCTAATTATTATCAGCAAAAATATAATTCAAATGTAAGTAATGAAAGTTCAGATAACACTTCTTATCAATATTTTAATATATTTGGTAGTACTGCTATGTGCTTAATAAAGCCAATATTTCCTGATTATATTATTAACAAAAACAAGTTAACAATATATGGTAAAGGTGGATTTCAATTCATGTTTATGAGAAAACAAAATAATTCTAATAAATATGATAAAAATAATAAAATGAATATATTTCTTAAAATTAACAGCTTATCAAGTGTTTTATCTTTAGATAGTATAGAAAAATTAACAAATGCGATAGTTATTAAAGGAAATAACAATAATTATTTGACTATTGATAAACATAAAGAAAAAAAAGATCATATTGTTATAAAATATAAATATCAGCCATCAAATGCTATTGATAATAATTTTAATGAAATAAATAATAATTTGAATATTGATGTTAATAAAAATATCAATATAAATGAATTAAACGAGGAGAAAAAAAATAATTTTGAAGAATTACATGTTAGTTCTCCTTTTACAGAGTTCTTAATATTTCAAAAAGCTGCTAATTTGTTACTACCTCAACTAATCGGATGGTCTAAACCTAATTAATTTATCTATAGTATTCTTTCATAAAATATTTCTGTGTGATAATGAAACATTTTTTTTTTTTTATTTATTTTTTTTTTTTTTTTTTTTTTAATAGTACTTAAAATTTTTTTTTTTTTTTTGAAGAATTTTATAAATTATAAATACAATGCTATGAGCATAAATATATATAAAAACGAATAGGTTAAAATTATTTACTTTATTTTTTAACAAAAATATAAAGTTTTTTTAAACAGAATAAAAATATGGAAAAATAAATGTATAAAAAAAAAAAAATATATATACAACAAAAAAAGCTTTCAAAAATGAATAACTATGTATTTTTTATTTTTTTTATAATTTGATTTTAATTATTATTATTTTTTTTTTTTAATCCTTTTTAATATATTAAATTTCTTTTTTTTTCTTTTTTTTTTTTTTTTTTTTTTTTTTTTTTTTTTTTTTTTTCTTTTTCAGTTTTTTTTTTAGTTTTTTTTTTACA